AGCCGGGCCGACTAATTCCAATAGTTGCAATAATTGCAAAATCCGGGACCTCCGAATCTTGCAACTATTGCAATTATTGGAATTCAATTCCAATAATTGCAATAATTGCAAAATCCGGGACCTGAAAATATTCCAATTATTACAATTATTGGAATTGAATTCCAATTATTGCAATAATTGCAAAATCCGGGACCTGAAAATATTGCAATTATTGCAAGTGTTGGAATTCAATGCAATAATTTCAAAATCCGGGACCTCCGAATATTGCAATTATTGCAATTGTTGGAATTGAATTCCAATATTTGCAATAATTGCAATAATTACTTGATCCCAGATTTGGCATGAAAGCCGGGCCAACGAATTCCAATCAATGCAAAATCCGGGACCTGAAAATATTGCAATTATTGCAATTATTGGAATTGAATTCCAACAATTGCAATAATTGGCTAATTCATTGATGCCAGATTTGGCCTCAAAGCCGGGCCGACTAATTCCAATAATTGCAATAATTGCAAAATCCGGGACCTCCGAAAATTGCAATTATTGCAATTATTGGAATTCAATTCCAATAATTGAAAAAATGCAAAATCCGGGACCTGAAAATATTGCAATTATTGCAATTATTGGAATTATTGGAATTGAGTTCCAATAATTGCAATAATTGCACTAATTGCAATAATTAATCGATCCCAGATGTGGCCTCGAAGCCGGGCCGACTAATTCCAATAATTGCAATAATTCCAAACTCCGGGATCTGCGAATATTGCAATTCTTGGAATTGAATTCCAATACTTGCAATAATTGCAAAATCCGGGGACCTACGAATATTGCAGTTATTGCAATTGTTGGAACTATTGGAATTGAATTCCAATAATTGCAATACTTGCAAAATCCGGGACCTCCGAATATTCCAATAATTGCAATTATTGGAGTTGAATTCCAATAATTGCAATAATTGCAAAATCCGGGACCTGAAAAATATTGCAATTCTTGCAATTCTTGGAATTGAATTGCAATAGTTGCAATAATTGCAAAATCCGGGACCTGAAAATATTGCAATTATTGCAAGTATTGGAATATTGCAATAATTTGGAATATTGCAATAATTACAATAATTGCAATACTTAATTGATCCCAGATTTGGCCTCAAAGCCGGGCCGACTAGTTCCAATAATTGCAATAATTGTAAAATCCGGGATCTGCGAATATTGCAATCATTGCAATTATTGGAATTGAATTCCAATAATTGCAATAATTGCAATAATAGATTGCAATTATTGGAATTGAACTCCAATAATTGCAATAATTGCAAAATCCGGGACCTCCAAATGTTGCAATTATTCCAATTATTGGAATCGAATTCCAATAGTTCCCATAATTATTGAATTCCGGGAGACCAGCTCCAAATGTGCAACAATTAGAATTTCACTCCAACAATTGACTCAAAGCTGGAACCAGCCTGAACGACACATAGGGTATGATCTTCCCTCTTACCCCCCCCCCCCCGCCCCAGGTGGCTGCGAATGCGCTACATGTGATCGCGGGCGCAGCAAACGACGGCGAGCGCGAGCGCCGTGTGTTGCGGGCGGCTATTGGTGAAAGCCGCAAAGAGTCGCTTGTTCTACTGCAGAGATGTCCAAAGTGTCACGACTACGTGCAACAACTCGCCGGGCGCCCCACCTGGCGTCAAGGATTGGGACAGCCGTGTGCGCTGCGTGTCTTCTGCAAGTTGACGGCGGAGCAAACGCCGCGCGAAACGCTGTTGTCTGGCTGGCGGCGTGTCCAGAGTGCCACGCAGGCCACGTGAAACGGGACATTGAAGGAGGGTGGAAACTGTTGCCGCGTATGAAAAGCCTGTTTTTGAACGGCCATGTGTCCAAAGTGCTTCGCAGGCCGTGCGAAAAGCTACGTCGAAAGATGGTGAATTCGCGCGTTTACGTCATGTTGGAGCCAATAAACAACAATAACAACACCCACCAAGCACCCATCAACATCAACCCCAATAACGTAATCCCCAACAACAACGCCAACAAAACAACAGCAGAAGCAAGAACAGCGACAGCAGCAGCAACGGTAACAACAAAAGCCAACAACCAGCAACCAACAATCGACAACCGACAACCAACAACCAGCAAGCCACAAGCAACAAACATTAAGCAGCAAGCAACACAACAACCAACAACCGACAAGAAAAACAACCACAAGAACAAGAACAAGAACAAGAACAAGAACAAGAACAACAACAACAACAACAACAACCACAAAAACCAACAAAAAACAAACAACATAAACAACAACAAAAAACAACACCAACACCAACAGCAACAGCAGCAGCAACAGCAACAACAATAGCAACATCAACAAGCAAAAAGCAACAAGCAACAAGCAACAAACAACAAGCAACAAGCAACAAGCAACAAGCAACAAACAACAAACGAACAACAAGCAGCAAACAAAAAACAACAAGCGACAAACAAGCAACAGAACAGCCAACAGCCAACAGCCAACAGCCAACAGCCAACAGCCAACAACCAACAACCAACAACCAACAACCAACAAGCAACAGAACAGCCAACAGCCAACAGCCAACAGCCAACAGCCAACAACCAACAACCAACAACCAACAACCAACAAGCAACAGAACAGCCAACAGCCAACAGCCAACAGCCAACAGCCAACAACCAACAAGCAACAAGCAACAAGCAACAAGCAACAAGCAACAACCACAACAACGACAACAATCACAACCACCACCACCACCACCACCAACGACAACGACACAACGACACAACGACACAACGACACAACGACACAACGACACAACGACACAACGACACAACGACACAACGGCAACGGCGACGGCAACGACAACGGACATCGACCAACGACCAACGACAACAACCAACGACCAACGACCAACGACCAACGACGAACCACGCACGACGACGAACGACGAACGACGAACCACCAACCACAAACCAAACCACAAACCACAAACAACAAACAACAACAACAACCAACAACCAACAACCAACAACCAACAACCAACAACCAACAACCAACAACAACAACAACAACCAACAACCAACAACAACAACAACAACAACAACAACAACAACAACAACAACAACAACAACAACAACAACAACAACAACAACAACAACAACAACAACAACAACAACAACAACAACAACAACAACAACAACAACAACAACAACAACAACAACAACAACAACAACAACAACAACAACAACAACAACAACAACCACAACAAACAACACAACAACAACAACAACAACAACAACAACAACAACAACAACAACAACAACAACAACAACAACAACAACAACAACAACAACAACAACAACAACAACAACAACAACAACAACAACAACAACAACAACAACAACAACAACAACAACAACAACAACAACAACAACAACAACAACAACAACAACAACAACAACAACAACAACAACAACAACAACAACAACACACGACAACGACAACGACAACGACAACGACAACGACAACGACAACGACAACGACAACGACAACGACAACGACAACGACAACGACAACGAAAACGACAACGACAACGACAACGACAACGACAACGACAACGACAACGACAACGACAACGACAACGACAACGACAACGACAACGACAACGACAACGACAACGACAACGACAACGACAACGACAACGACAACGACAACAACAACAACAACAACAACAACAACAACAACAACAACAACAACAACAACAACAACAAGAACAACAACAACAACAAGCACCACAACGACGCCGACGACGGCGACAGCAACAGCGACACGGACAGCGACAGCGACAGCGACAGCGACAACGACAACGACAACGGCAACGACAACGACGACGACAACAACAACGACAACGACAACGACAGCGACAGCGACAGCGACAGCGACAGCGACAACGACAACGGCAAGGACAACGACAACGACAACGACAAGAACCACGACAACAAGGCCAGCAACGGCAACGCGAGCAACAGCACACAGCAAGCAACAACAAACCAACATCGACAAGGATAGGAACAAGAACAGCGCCAGCAACAGCAACAACAACAACAACAACTACAACAACAACTACAACTACTACTACTACTACTACTACTACTACTGTTAATATTTGCGGTCCGTACTCGTGTTCAGGGTTGGCTCCGCACTTCAGCCGGCTCGGTCGCACAGGGACCCCAACACGTTGGTTGATAACATGCGCTGAAGGGTTTTGCTAGAATGCGCCGGCGCCCTGGTAAAATGCGAACACGCGCGCCCCAAACGACAAAACAAAACTCAATTTTGAGCGCCGCTTTTTACCCAGGAAGCTTCCAAGGATGACTGGCCTAACCTCGGTTTTGCAATTACACTTTGCGCCTGTGGTGCTTTACTCCACAGCCAGGAGCCACAGGTGCAGGAGCCCAAAGCTTTCAAGACAGAGTCAAAGGCAGCAAGGGCAAAGGTGGACGAGTGCCCGGTCCATCTTGCTGCTTTGAGCCTTGGCAGGACATGACTCCGGGTGTTTGAGGCGAAGGTGGGTGATCGAGGTCAAAGGGAAAGGGGGTTCGGCAAGGCTCCGAGATTTTGTGCCGCGCAAAGCGAAGGTGATCCTGGATGGGCAGCGCGCGGCCAAGATCTTTCTGGATGGAAAGCGACCAGTGGGGGCAGGTCCACAGCTGCGGACTTGAGGGTCTCGATGGAGGCTAACTGATGGACTGGGACGGGCCAGCTACCAGGCGGTAAAGAGGGTGCTTGGCTGCGTTTGAGGGAAGGGCAACACGATCTTTGAGAATGTCAAATGGGGCGGGTTTTGAGCCGATTTTTGCGCGGGACCCAACAAAGAGGGGGTCCTGAAATTTGCAGGACGTGGCGTGTTCTTTCAGGATGGCTTGACATGGGCATGATAGCCTTCTTTTTGGAAAGTGGCACTCGCTTTTAGATAAGCGGTTGGAGTTTCCCGCCTGCGTCCAACAGCCGCTTCGCCGCATCAATTTTCCCCTGCTGCGCAGCGGCGCACAGCGGAGTCCAGCCAGCCTCGTATGGCCAAATGGTGATACGTTGAACCACGTTATATAAGTTGGGGCTATCCCACACAGACTTGCAATTTTCCGCAGCCAGGTCAGCCGAGTGTTTCCTAGATGTGGAACACGTGAAGCCTTCTGATTGGCTGGCCTGCAGGGAAAGAACGGAACCCCCGCAACGCAAAAAGACCTCACCAGCTTCGACAAACTCCCGCAGCGCTTGCGCGCCTTTGCCATATTCATGGCAGCTGCCGGGCGTCGCGGAGGCTCGGCCTCGGCGCAACCAGCAAAAGACCGCTCGCCCGGCCGGTTTGGCACTGTCAGCAGCAAACAAAGGCAGGGGACACCAAAACTTATTTTTGAGCTGCTCTTGTGTGACAGCCAAAACATATGTTGATGGAACCTGACAACATCAGGACGCAACACACGCAGGCTTCGAAATTGCCCTGTGTGCTGTCAAGTACCATGGCTACCAGTGCGCCCGGCTGCGCAATGGCTGTAAGTGCAAGGCTGTGAGATCCACGGCGCTGCTTGGCGCTGGTGTTATGGTTGGCATGGTAATGGTCGGTCCCCGGTGTTGCCTGAAGCCAGTGATGGTCCTCAGCCGCTCCGCGAGCCAGCTGAATTCAGCACAAGGCTGACCCCTAGCCATAAACCGGACGACGCTCGGCAGTCATCGTAACAATTCCTGGCGAAGCACTTGGAAGCAAGGCTTCCAGCTCAAGCACACGCAGGGTCTCACCAACAGTCACACGCATCAAGTACATGTGTGCAAAGTAACGTTTGTGTCCGTGGAAAGGCAACAACCATGCTCGAACAACAAATATCCCAAAGGCTCAGACCCTTCGCTTTTCTCCTACCGGGCGGCGGCACCATCACTGCCAGCCCCAGTGCTGCGTGAGTCGCTGGCGCCGAGGGCACTGCAGAGGCTGCAGCAGGGCCCGCAGGTGCTGGGGCCGCAAGGACCGGGCCGGCCCGGGCGGTGAAGTCAGGCGGGGTGACGCAAACGCGCTGCTCCTCAGCATGCGTAGCGTAACGTGTTTGCAAGTTTGCAACGCCGCCTTTGCAGACCTCCTGTCAAAACGGCACTGCGCGCTTCAGGCTTTGGAGAGCACACCGCGTGTTTGAGAACATGTTGACAAGCAGGATGATAGGGTGCCAGGGTGAGTGTCCGTCAACCTGCCATGGGAGAGCCAACTGAGGCAGGCCACACAAGCTCTCGTGGTGTGTGTGTGGGTGTGCGCGTGTGCGTGTCTGTGTCAGTCCGTCCCTCAATCCATCCGCCTGCCTGTGTCTGGTCGGTGTCGGTGTCGGTGTCGGTGTCGGCGTCGGCGACGGCGTCGGCGTCGGCGTCGGCGTCTGCGTCTGCGTCTGCGTCGGCGTCGGCGTCGGCGTCGGCGTCGCCGTCGACGTGGGCGTGGGCGTGGCGTCGGCGTCTGCGTCTGCGTGTGCGTGTGCGTCTGCGTCTGCGTCTGCGTCTGTGTCTGTCTCTGTGTCTGTGTCTGTGTCTGTGTGTATGTTTGTGTCTGTGTCTGTGTGTCTGTGTGTCTGTGTGTCTGCGGGTCTGGTCTGTGTCTGTGTCTGTGTGTCTGTCTGTGTGTCTGTCTGTGTGTCTGTGTGTCTGTCTGTGTGTGTGTCTGTGTGTGTGTCTGTGTGTGTGTCTGTGTGTCTGTGTGTGTGTCTCTGTGTGTCTCTGTGTGTCTCTGTGTGTCTCCGTGTGTCTCCGTGTGTCTCTGTGTGTCTCCGTGTGTCTCTGTATGTGTGTGTGTCTCTGTGTGTGTGTGGGTGTGTGCGTGGTGTGTGTGTGTAAGCTGACAGCCCCTTTGATGCCATTGATAAGACATGTGCCTGACACGCACACAGGCGTCTTGTGACGCTCATCACACTTGAAGTTTTTCCCCCTGCCTCTGGTACTACCTTTCTATTTTCTGCACCGATTGCTTCCATGAAGTGGCCTTTCATTCCCCAAAAGCCACTGAAACGCAGGCGTTTACCCCTCGAAGCTCAGAACTGCAAAAAGAGCGCAATGGCGGCGTGGAGCCAATCGGAGAAGTGGGACAGTGACACCTGGCAGTCTAAACCCAACCGTCGGAACTCAACTCATTGGAAGCCGGACTCATGGCAATCGGATAAGTGGTGGCACTGTTCCCAAGAAAAGCCAGATTTCCAGCCGAGTGCAAGCACTCAATGCCCGACAATTAACTTGCCGTCCCATTTTGTACCCAGCGAGGAATGTTTTGACCCCACAGCGGTGGGAGGTCACAGGTGTTTCCGCACGGTTCAGCCCAGCGAGTGGAGCCGCAAAGTCGGCCTTGCGGGCCGTCCGCTTGAGGATATCCGTGCCTTCGAATTTGCGCACAAAGGCATAGGAGACTATGCTTTGCGCCTGATTTCGAAAGGCCGCTTTCAAGGCTCGAGTGGACGCGTAGTGTAATGGAAAAAGTGACGGTGACTGCGCTCCTCAAAAAGTTGAGGGAGGGACACGTCGATATCGACGAGGTTGCCAAGACATATTTTGAGCAACGCCCTCCCGATAAACACAAAGATTCCGCTAGGTTCATGGGCCCGCTGGCAGAAGAGTTGTTCCAAGTCATGCGAGCGCAGGACTTCAACTCACTCCGACGAAGTGCCAAGCGCCAGGAGACGAGCACACAGAAGCCGCACCCTCAAGCTCAAATCCCGGTAGGCGCGGCCGGACCTCTGACCCACAGCCAGCAGCCCACCCGCGTCCTGAGGTAGCGAAGCTACTTCAGGATCCGCCAACTCGCCAGGTCACAAGTCAGCCCAAGGGAGCAAAGGATGCGCATATCCTTGCATGGACCAATTCCTACCGCTCCATTTTTAAAGGGCAGTTCCGGGACTTTCAGAAGAAAGTCCAAGTCGCACAAGAGCTGCTCAAGAAGAATTGTAGCAAGCCGGAGTTGGCCGAAGCAGCCACCAAGTTCGGGCCGGACCCCAAGTTGGCAGCAAAGTTGAGTGTCAAGAATTTGTCCGCAGTAACTCACAGTATCAGGCTGCGTGACTAGCCTGTCTGACCCAATCTTTGTCAAGCGACAAGAGACACCAAACACTTGCAGACACCATTAAGCACAGGTGCTCAGCTGTTGTCAGGGCACCAGTTGTATGGGCACAAGGATTGCTGCACTTGTGTCTTCTCTTTTCCCATCAGCTTCCAGCAAGCAACACATCTAGCCACACCTTTGGCTTAACCATGAAGTCCGTTGATGTACACCTGGCCATGGTTTCAATCCCCCAATGCTGATTACACAAACTTCAGGTTGATTGGCGCCTTTTTAAGACTGTCTCACATTACCGGCAACCATCCCCAACGCTATACATTGGGTCAACCTCCATCTCGGTTATGCTCCGAGAAAGCAATCGAATGTCTGTGTTCAACAAACTGTCCCGCCGTGAAGAAGTTCAGGCTGAGCTTGCCATTCGTTACTGGCACGCGCAATCCGGCTTTGAACAGTTCTCCATCATCGCCGTCCGAACTTCTGAGTCGTACAAAGCGGCATGGATCTTTGAACACTGCCTGATTGAGGCGTGGCAGGCCCGTTTGAATTACCCTTTTGTACAGTCGGCCCTTCGTAGATCCGCAATAGGCTTTCGTCCGGCCAAACGGCGCTTAACTGCCTATGGCAGGTTTGGGCGACGCCTTTGGCGAAAACTCAGAAAGAGACAGTTCGGCGCATTTGCTTTGGCCAGACTGCAAGCGTGGGACTTGATGCTTGACTTGTCCAGTTTCACCCTCGCCAGCTTTAATGCGTGTACACTTTTACGATCCGGGCGATTTGTAAATGATGAAGTTTACGCCATCATTCGGCTCAGTTTTTCATTAGAGGAGCCATTGAAAACCAAGGTCCGTAAGCTTTTGGGCCTAGCGCCTCATTGAGCATTCGTTTTCTAGCTCACGCAAGTTTCCGTCAACAAGTCAATCGCTGGCTCACACAGCAGATCCTGCGGCACAAGTCAATTCTGGTTCCGTTTCACCTACCCAGTAAGACGGTGCGAGAATGGGATGAGTTTGTACAAAGCCAGGGAAGTGATTCTCTGCCGTGTCCAAGCGCGAAATTTGTGTCCTCTCTTCCGTGCTCACGTTTTGTTGGCCAGCATGTTGCATGCGGAATAGAGGCCAGGGGCCCAGCGTGCCCCGCACTGGAGTGGCTAGGTCAACGCAATACTTTTAACACAGTGAAGCTGCGTTCTCCCGCTGGCGGAAGCAACAGCCGTTTACCCCCAGAGGCTGAAGTCAATTTCGCCAGTTTCTTTGTGCACAATGGCCAACAGCTGAAGCGTGTGCCAAGTTCGCGTGTCTCATGTTCCAAATTCGGATTGCCAGAAACCACTTGCATGTGTCGATGCATTTTGCTCAAACATGACGGGGTAAGTCTGTGTTGACGAGCTCAAAAATACGGCCGTGCCGGACTTCAGGCAGGACTGAGGATTCACCTCGCCAGTTGCCCCAGTCTTCTTCGTCAACAACCGTGGTTGAAATCAAATGAATGCACTCCATCTGTGCGGCGCTCTCTCTTATGACCCATCGTTTGTCTTTGCTACATGAGTGTACAACTGGCACCCTGCAGGGCACTTCTTGCTCCAAGCGGGTGTCTGCGGAAGTTGGTTTCTCATGCGTGCCTTAGGCTTTGCCCGAAAAAAGGATGCCACATTGATTCTTTCCATGAAAGAACATCGCTGCAGCGCATGCAGCAGCTTCGGCAGGGCCGGGCACTCAATGAACTGCTTTACAGAAAAAGCCCGAGCAGGCATTCCAAGAGAGTCTGCAGATCGGGCCGAGAAAGAACTTGGCTGGAAAACTCCAAACGGCAACCATGTTGCTGTCGTCCTTAATTACCGATGCAGGTTTAAAGAAGATCTGCTCATGTGGCAGCTTGAGCGTTACCAGACACTTTGCCAAACACCTTACGATTTCTTCTTCCACACAGAACATGCCTTGAGGACGGTGAGGTTGGGCTGCCTGTTGGGCTTTGCCCATGAATCCAAGCCGACCGTTGCTCACTGGTTCGTAGAGCACTTGGCGGTGGGAATTCCCAGAAAATAACGCATGCCCGGATCTGGCCAAGTACTTCGGCGCACATGGAGGATTGGTCCAATGCTTGCGGTGTTGCAGCTGGCCTGCTGCCCGCATCAGCAACAAGATTCGCAGCAGGCATCACCTGCACGTTGCTTGGCCCAGGCCGAGCTAGCTTTTGAAGCCACCGCAGGAAGCGACTGGTTGAACATATGGATGATGTCTGCCGGGGTTCATGCCTCCCTGCTGTTGAAACCAAGGAGGAGGAGGGGGGTGACATGGCTGGCATGGGTCTTAGACCACGCACTTCGGCCTGTAGCGCTGGGACTGGAGAACTGGCACAACAGTTTACTGGGCAATGAGGTTGCGCATGCGGGTCTCCAGGAGCTACAATCCAGGAAGCCGGAGCGCTGCTGGAACCACAATAGGTGGTCCAGGAGCCGATTTCACCGCCGTTGTGTGGCCAAAATTTCATGTGCGTGGCTCACACCTAAGCGCGGCGGCTGAGGGGTCCGTGAACGGTGATCAGTTCGCGGTGGGTGTTTCGGGGGCCGTCGGCAGTTGGGATCTGCCGCGGCCTGGGGCGTTGCGGGTGGCTGCGAGAGCTGCAGCGCTGGGAGTGCCTGGGTTTCTACATTGGCGTGGGTCCCGGGAGAAAGAACACGTACGACGGTGTCATTGCTTGGCGTCAGAACCTTGGAGTGTGGAAACAACCATCTGCCATGTTCTGGGCCAAGCTTCCAGTAAACTCACACAAGCCGGCGTGCGAACAAAACGGCATAACAAGAATGCGACAACAAAAAACGTATGCGACAGCAGAAACGTGGCGCGAGTCGGCGAGAGACATGCAAAGTGGCAGGATATTTTCCTTTCGTTCACAGAAGAAGAACATGCCCCGGTAACCTTTCTGTATGTATAGGTTGCGGAGTTCTCGGATCTGCCCGCTTCGAGACGAAACAGGCCATGCATACTTGGAGATTAGCGCCCTGCGAGATCTGTAGCCGCTGACTCTAACTGTCCATGAGCCAGCGCTGCTGGGATGCCGGATCATCCACGACTGAATTGGTTGGCAAACTGGTTTTAGTGTTGGGGGGAAATTAGAAAGCCTAACCGTCGGTGATCTTCTACTACTTCTAGTTGGATGGACCCTTCGTAAAAACGAGCGCTGGGCTCGCCAGGGCCGCTTCGCTGCCCAAAACTTCCCTGTTGTCTACATATCCTTCTACATATCAAAGTATGAGCAACTCCGTGGATTCGGAGGCTTGCTGCGCTTGCCAGGACGGAAGCCAGCTCCTTTTTCTGAGGACGACTGGCAGGCTTGACAAAATTGGGCTTATCTGGTTTCCTCAGGTGCCCCCGGAGTTGCCGACACACCCGATCAACAAAGCGGTAAAAGATAGCTGCGCAATGTCTATGATGTCTCTGTGGTAGAGACATTTGCAGGCGGCTGTCTGGCCGCCTCTGGGTTTACCAGGAAAGGCTTTTCCTTGCCCTGGTCGAGGAGACAGCGTGACCGAAAAACAATCCGGACAGCCCGCTTCACTGTAGTCTCTCTGAAGACATTCCAAGGCGCTCAGGATTTGACATCGGGGAACTGCGTTAAAGAAGCCAGTCAAATCAGCCTCCACCAAAAGCACAAAATGGTGAGTCTGCTTGAAAAAATCATGGATTCGCTGCCACAGCCATGGCTTTACATCACAGCCAAAGCCATCCCACCATACTGTTTGCAGCATGAGTGTGGTGGCTTGCGAGGTTGCCAGCAGTAAGCGACACAGCATTGAATTGCCGTAGCTGATGATGCTACGTCCCTTCAAGAACTGCGTATTCCTTTTGAGAAACGCAAAGCCGAGCAGTAGGGTCAAGTCCCCACCGGTATCGGTGCATGATATGTCTGGGTACTTCTTGAAGTGCCCGCCGTCCCCACTGTTCGGGTTCACCCTGCAGTGGTGCGTGCGTGCGTGCGTGCGTGCGTGCGTGCGTGCGTGCGTGCGTGCGTGCGTGCGTGCGTGCGTGCGTGCGTGCGTGCGTGCGTGCGTGCGTGCGTGCGTGCGTGCGTGCGTGCGTGCGTGCGTGCGTGCGTGCGTGCGTGCGTGCGTGCGTGCGTGCGTGCGTGCGTGCGTGCGTGCGTGCGTGCGTGCGTGCGTGTGTTTGTGTGTGTGTTGTGCTGCGCTGCGCTGTGCTGTTTGTAGCACAAGTTTAGCATGCGACATACAATTCGCTCGGGAATCGCAACTTTGTAGCACAAGTCCTTCGTGCGAAGTACTTTTCCGCAGCTGCAGCTCGGAAATGGCAACTTCGCGCAAGTCTAGTAGACAAAGTACACTTCCGTGTCTCCAGCTTGAAAATCGCAACTTTGTAGCGAGCCGCTCGTAAATCACAACTTTGTAGCACAAGTCTGGCGTGCGAAG